AGAGAGAGAAAGAAAGAGGAAAAATTAGTGATGCTTCTAAGTTCTAAATATAATTAGTGATCAAGGATTGAAGATATAAAAAATTAAAAAGAACAAAAAGATGTCAACTTATCCACACACATACATTATACTAGCATAAGATATGGAAGGATATACATTGTACATAGGAATTAATGTCTTACTCTGATCTCTCCTTCAGTTGTATCCCACACAGTAACAGAGCAAGGACTATTCTATCATCATGTAGCATGCCTCTGGCAACACGAGTGTACACCATCTAATGAAAGAGAGAAAGAATGTACATGTACATGTGAAATGTACAGAACTATACACAGATCAACAACTAATACAATACACATGTATATCAATGTATGTACAAATGTACACATTAATCAGGCCTATACACTGAAACCTCCTAAGTTTTAAAGGCTATCCTTCCAAATTTAAAATGCTGTGGTATAAAAATAAGCAGGTACCTGGAATAAATCCTGAGAGATGATCCTAAGCCTCTTAGCATAATCAGACTGTCCCTTCAGATTAGGATTGACTGTCAGTACATTTTGAAATATGTCCAGGAAGAATTACAAGGAATACTGGTACAAGAAATGAACCTAAGAATAAAAGAAGGAAAAATTGAAATAGGAATGAGCAATTACACTATAAAAACAACCAAATTAAGATAATAATACATTAATTTTCAATAGTGAAATGTTTAGCAATACATGCATGGACAAATTTTCTAATTAAAAGCTGGCCTAATGTATTTTTGAAGCAAAACCATCAAAATAAAGTACCGCTAAATCACACGACAGTCACATGATTTCAATTACCTGATTGAGTGACTCCAGAGTGAAGTACATGGCAGAGCAGGAGGTGGAGAGAGGCAGGTATTGCTGGGAGACTGTCAACTTCAGCCATTATAGTATCAGTCTCCTCCATCTTCCTCTGAACTTCTGCAGCCTCTTCCTTAAGAGTCTCAAGCTCAGTAATGATTCTAAAAATAGACACAACAAAGATTACATCATGTAACAATTGTTATTATATTTAGATGTGTTGTTACTATTATTAGAATTGGGGGTACCTGTTGTTGTCTAGGATACGACCCTTGACCTCGTTCAATGCAGTGAGGAGACTCTTCTCAAGGTGACGCAAACAAAGGAGGAACTCAACTAATGAATAATTATTGATTTAATTTATTAATAAAAGATAATTAATGTATCTTTAATTATTAAAATACTTTACGTTTTTCTCAACAATTGATAAATCATTCTTAATAACACTAGCATCAGATATAACCATTGCATATTCTTCTATATATCTAAGTAAAGAAATAAAATTAAAAATATAAGTTTCACTTTTAATGTATTTTGTTTTGTTCTTTACTTTGCTATAGAGGCTTCAAGTTCTGCTATTATTTTTGTTAATTCTTCTCCTTTTTGACGAGTGTCCTCAGCTTTGGTTTTCAAATCTTTCAATTCTTTACGTAACGGATCAACTCTCTTCAACATATCAGCATAACTCAACTATAGGAGAGAGAGAAGAGGATACAATATTATCAATACAATAAGGTACACAATTATTACAAAGAAATAAAATGAATAAAAATGCCTCAAGTTCACTTTTAATTGTGTGCATTAATTTAGCATTTTAGATCCATTTGGGTGTTTGGCTATATTTGAGGCTATTCAGTGAGCAACTTTAAAAATTCATAAAAAATCCAAATTTGATAGGAATCAACTCAAATTTTATACACAACATAAGGACAAGTATATGTATCAAAAAATATTATAAAATTGAGAATTCTCTTTTTTAATTTTTAAGAAATCTGGTCAACATCCCTGTACTATATATATAGTACAGGGACTTTGACCCAATTTTTGAGCAACTTCAAAAATTCATTAAAAATCCAAATTTGATCGGAATCAGCTTAAACTTTCTACACAACATAAGAACTTGTATATGCATCAGAAAATGTTATAAAAATTGAGAATTCTCTACTTGACATTTTTGGTAAAATTTGGCAGACGCCCCTGTACTGTGATACAGGGACTTTGATTCAATTTTTGAGCAAATTTAAAAAATTCATATAAAATCTAAATTTGATCGGAATCAGCTCAAACTTTATACACAACTTAAGAACATTTATATGTATCAGAAAATGTTATAAAAATTGAGAATTCTCTACTTGACATTTTTGGCAAAATTTGGCTGACGCCCCTGTACTATAGTACAGGGACTTTGACCCAATTTTTGAGCAACTTTAAAAATTTATAAAAAATCCAAATTTAATCGGAATCAGCTCAAACTTTCTACGCAACACAAGAACATGTACATGTATATGCATCACTTAATTCCACATACACGATTAAAATCAGACTTTATTTAAAACACTCCTCTAAGGCCCACAGCCTTACTTGCGTGATTAACAGTCTCAAAGTTATACTCTTTACGTGACATGTAGTCTCTCTTCATCTTATTCCTATCGTCATTAGTAATGTCTTCAGTAGAGAAGTTAGCAATGGTAGGAATAAAGTTCTCCTTCATTATAATCTGTTTGATACTCTTCCAGTCAGTGTAAGGTTCTCTCATTAGCATGCAGATGCTTTCCAGTGCCATCTTGATGACCTGATGGGATTGTTCAGAGCCCTCACTTCAACCAGGTGGGATTTCTTAATTCTCTTCACAGCTGCAAAAAGAAATAGCAATAATAATAATAATAATAATAATATGCTTTCTTTTTGTCTTTCTCTCGGGTTCTCCCTCTCCTCCTTTCTATATATTTCCTCTCTTTTTGTTGCCCTTTTCTCTCATAATAATAATAATTATTATTATTATTATAATTATA